CTTCTTCTTCTTCTTCTTCTTCTTCTTCTTCTTCTTCTTCTTCTTCTTCTTCTTCTTCTTCTTCTTCTTCTTCTTCTTCTTCTTCTTCTTCTTCGTCCCGTGCAAGCAGGTGCCAACAGCAAAGCAACTGGCACACATGTTCATGCAACATGTCATCAGACTCCATGCATTGCCCCACGAAATAATTTCTGACAGGGGGACTCAGTTTGTTGCCAAATTCTGGTGGGAGCTGATGAAATTTGGGGGGATTGAACAACGGCTTAGTAGCAGTCATCACCCCGGAACCAATGGGCAGACCGAAAGGACTCATTAGCTGTTGAAGCAATTCCTCAGATGTTCCATCAACCACCAACTGGATGATTGGGTGGACTTGCTCCCTTTTGCAGAATATAGTTACAACCAGGGGTCATTTTGTAGAAAAAGAGGTGCAGGAGCTCATTAGCATAACCCATTAGCATAACTTATTTGCATATGCCACATCCCCTGACATCACTGGAAGTGTGTCTGAAGGCAACACCCACTGCTCAGGCTCCACTGGACTGTTTTGGATTGCTAGCTATTGGAGGGGGGGAATGTGCAGATCTGCCCTCGCAGAGGAGAAAGAGGTCGTACCTGAATAAAACCTGGTCTTAAAGGTGCCACTGGACTGTTTTGTACCGAGGGGGCTCTGCAACTTACCTCGCTGCTTCTTGCTCTGACTGAGGGCTGCTGAGAGCAGGGGGCGGGGCTTGTTGCATGTGCCTGCCACCCGGGCTCTTTACTGCCGGAGCTCCGCTCCTGTGTGCTCCCGCAGGAAATGACCCCTGGTCATAGTCCCCTTCCGGTATCAGGACTTCAAGTTCTTCCTGCTCGTTTCTCATACTCTGCACCACGACTCTTGAAAGCTCCTCCCCACCACAGAACAAAGCTTGAGCCACAAATTTTGTTCGTCTTTAAGGTGCTCCTGGACTCTTGGTCATTTCTACTGCTACAGACAGACTGAAAAGGCCACCCATCTTGATTGATCTCCAAGGGGGAAATCATATGGTTGCTATGAAAGCAACTAGAGACTTGGGTTGCGGTCACACAGGCCTTTAGATCCGACATAGCTGCAAATGCCTCACAGATCTAAAGGGCACGATCAGGCAGCAAAATCTGGGAAACGTCGCACAATCATCGGCAACCCGTGCTGCTCCGCCACAGAAGCAGAGTTAAGACACCAGGGAAAGTCCAGTTCTAATGCTTGCCGACAGACTGCGGACGGACTTTCCCCTGTCTGATCGCTCAGAAATGCTCTCAAGCCATAGAGATGGTCTGTGTCACCCTCTCCCTTAGTACGAGGAGTGGCGCCCCCAGTAGCCGTAGTGCCGAGAGTAGCTTCCAGAGGCAACTAGATGGGCAGTCCAGGTGGCCTGAGAGGTTGTAGCAAAAAGGGGGGTAGAGAAGGGCCTCAGACCGGCAGGGGACGGGGTTTAAGTGCACCCCTGTTGTCCCTCTGCCCACACGCTTGTCTCGTTTCCCTCTCTCTCTTCCTTCACGTCTTAGCTCCCTTTTTCTCTCTCTCGTCCTCAGCATGTGCTGCTTCGTCCCTGGCTCTCTCTTGTACCCGCCTTTTATTCTCTCCTCTCCCTCCCCGGGACCGCCCCTCTGCTCTCGGGGCCTGGGCCCCGCCCCCTATTAAAGCGTAGACGCCTGTGTGGCATTCCCCGGTCGGGCGTGGGCACACCGGTGGCGGTCCTGGCGGCCTGTGAGCAGCGCCGGTGCCCTGCTGTTCTGTCCCCTCGGGAAGGGCCCCCGGCCTCCGCGCCGCATCCATCTGCTCCTGCCCTCCCGGTTGTAGCGTCAAGCCCCGGTCTCGCTTCCTAGCTCGGCCGGGGCTGGGCGTCTTGTATGATCCCGCGCCGTCTCTCTCTCCCGTTGGGCGACTGGTCTGCGTCGGCTGTGCTCCCGCCGGTAAGTCGGGTCCTGGCGTCCCTCCCAGGCTCGTCGGGGGTTGTAGGCTGTCGCCAGTGGGGGCCGCGACCCCTGGAGCGGGACAGTCTGCTCATTCCATCCTGACTCATCGCATACTCCATGGGGAACCCTCAGTGTGGAGGTGCGATCCCTCATTTATGCACACGGGAAACAAATGGCAAAAAAAACCCCACTCGCACGCGGTGGTGTCTGATCACACAGTGACAGGCTGAGCCCGCAGGACAAAGGCACGTGTGAGCTTGCAACTGTGAGTCAAATTCCTCCGGAGGAAATAGGGGCACTTCCCCTCTGCTCAAAATGGCATGTGTGACGGCAGCCTTGCTTTTTTCTTTTAAAAAATCAGGCCGAGGATTCAGAAAACCTGATACCCAAATTGTTAGAAGGTTATGCTGATACAGAATCAGTTGGGATGGGGCCTCCAGTGTCATCTAGTCCAACCCCCTGTACAATGCAGGGAATTCACAAATCCCTCCTCCTACACAAACCCAGTGACCACTAAATTGCTGAGCAGTCAGGTTACAAGGGATAAAAGGACGTACTCCTTCACCCAAAGAGTGATTAACACCTGGAATTCACTGCCACAGGAGATGGCGGCGGCTGCAAGCATGGATGGCTTCAAGAGGGAATTAGATAAGCATATAGAGCACAGATCCATCAGTGGCTATTAGCCACAAGGTATAGATAGGGACTCTCAGGCTGGGGCAAGTGATGCTCTGTATTCTTGGTGCTTGGGGGGGGGAGAAACAGTGGGAGGGGCTCCTAGTGTCCTGGCCCCACTGCTGGACCTCATGATGGCACCTGGTGTTTTTGGCCACTGTGTGAGACAGATTGTTGGACGGGATGGGCCATTGTCCTGATCCAACATTGGCTTCTCTTATGTTCTTATGTCTGGGGCAAGGGATGCTCTGTATTCTGGGTGCTTGGGGCGGGCAACAGTGGGAAGGCTTCTGGCGTTCTGGTCCCACTGATGGACCTCCTGATGGTACCTGGTATTTTTGGCCACCGTGTGACACAGAGTGTTGCACCAGATGGGCCATTGGCCTGATCCAACATTGTCTTCTTTCATGTTCTTATGTCTGGGGCAAGGGATGCTCTGTATTCTTGGTGTTTGGGGGGACAGCCGTGGGAGGGCTTCTAGTGTCCTGGCCCCACTGCTGGACCTCCTGCTGGCACCTCCTGTTGGACTGCATGGGCCATTGGCCTGATCCAACATTGGCTTCTCGTATGTTCTTATGTCTGGGGCAAGTGACGCTCTGTATTCTTGGTGCTTGGGGGCGGGCAACAGTGGGAGGGCTTCTGGAGGTTTGGCCCCACTGATGGACCTCCTGATGGCCCCTGGTGTTTCTGGCCACTGTGTGACACAGGAGTGTTGGACTGGATGGGCCATTGGCCTGATCCAACATTGGCTTCTCGTATGTTCTTATGTCTGGGGCAAGTGACGCTCTGTATTCTTGGTGCTTGGGGGCGGGCAACAGTGGGAGGGCTTCTGGAGGTTTGGCCCCACTGATGGACCTCCTGATGGCCCCTGGTGTTTCTGGCCACTGTGTGACACAGGAGTGTTGGACTGGATGGGCCATTGGCCTGATCCAACATTGGCTTCTCGTATGTTCTTATGTCTGGGGCAAGTGACGCTCTGTATTCTTGGTGCTTGGGGGCGGGCAACAGTGGGAGGGCTTCTGGAGGTTTGGCCCCACTGATGGACCTCCTGATGGCCCCTGGTGTTTCTGGCCACTGTGTGACACAGGAGTGTTGGACTGGATGGGCCATTGGCCTGATCCAACATTGGCTTCTCTTATGTTCCACGCCCAGAAGATGACAAAAACATATAACTATCGTCAATTTCAATTTTTGCAAAAAAGCCTCCCAGCCGGGGGTGGGATGGTGGGTAATGACTGCTGTGGGGACAGGGGAAACGGCTGTCTTAATGTGGAGAGGATTGGGAGAAATGGAACTTCCCTACTTACATGGCAGCCGAAAGACATTTGGCGAAAACCCCAGGAAACCCCCAGGAGGTATTTGAATGTACAAAGATGCTATGAGGGAAAAAGAAAAAAATAAATAAATGCCTCCCAGCAGCATCCAGTCTGGGGCAAACAAACTGGGTGGGGGAAATCGTCATCCAGATTGTGTCTGAATATGAAAGCAAAAGAGGGATATTCTTCAGTCAGGAAAAAAGATTTATTCTGGCAAGCAGGAGAGAAATCGTCCAGGCAAGTCTGTCGCTACAGGCCGAGAGGGACGGCCATCCTTCCTACAAAACGAATTCGCAGACGTAGGCCATCGGTGTAGTGCAGAATGCGTCGTTCCACTCCTGGTATTCTGGAAGGCCAGAGTGAGATTGAGGTCAGGGACCTTCCTGCCACCCTGTGCATTTTATTTCTCAAGAGGATTTTCAGTTTTCTGAGGGAAAATGTGTCTAAGACATGGCCCCCTGGGACCTCTCCTATATCACTGTGGACAGAGAGGCACTCTCTGGTGATGGGAATATAGCTGGTCTCTGCTCTTGCCATGGGCAGATGACGGCTTTCGGGGCTGGACACTGAATGTCAAAGTCCTAGTCTAATGGGAAACCATACATCGTTGAATTTTCTGTCCTATGCAACACTCTCTGAAGGTCTGAACCCCGAAAATTGGACTGCCAGGTGTTCCGATTTGGTTGGAGACCTCCAAGTGACATTCCTAGTTGTCCTGCTACTCCTCGCTGGACCAGTAGGGGCAAAATGGAGTGGAGGGTTGCGATTGGCTTCACACCAATGCCACATCATTTATCACGCAAACTGGAGGTGACAGCATTACTTTGGGCGGCACTCTAGCATTTGCCTGAAGACTCTATGGTTAAACCGTAGAGTCCGGGGTGAATGGTAGAGTGTCTCCTCGGCCCAATGGTGTCCCTTCTAGGCCACGCAAGAAGTGACATCACGGTGTTGGCGTGATGCCAAAAAGTTGAGTCCAGTTGCTAGAGATACCCTCATCAGAAGAAGAAGAAGAAGAGATTGGATTTATACCCCGCCCCTCACTTGGAGTCTCAGAGCGGCTTACAAACTCCTTTCCCTTCCCCTCCCCACAACAGACACCCTGTGAGGTGGGTGGGGCTGAGAGAGCTCTGACAGAAACTGCTCTTTTTCAAGGACAGCTCTTATCAGAACTACGGCTTGCCCAAGGTCATCCAGCCAGGTGCAAGGGGAGGAGTGGGGAATCAAACCCGGTTCTCCCAGATTATAGTCCGCACACTTAACCACTATACCAAACTGGCATCGTCTCCGCGTACCTCTAGGAATCAACAGGAACTCTGCAGTCAGAACTTCTGATGAGTAGCTCTGGCCTATTTTTTTCTTTTTTAATTTTTTTCTCTCGGGACACATGAACACAGGAAACTGCCTCCTACTAAATCCGACCCTCGGACCATCAAAGTCAGCATCGTCCACTCAAACTGGCAGCAGCTCTCCAGGGTCTCAGGCAGAAGTCTTTCCCATCACCCATTGCCTGGTTTTTTTTAACTGGAGATGCCGGGGATTGAACCTGGGACCTTCTGTGTGCCAACCAGAGGCTCTGCCGCTGAGCCACAGTCCCTCTTGACAGCTCTCCAGGGTCTCAGGCGGAGGTCTTTCCCATCACCTCCTACCTGGTCCTTCTTAACTGGAGATGCCGGGGACTGAACCTGGGACCTTCTGCATGCCAAGCAGAGGCTCTGCCACTGAGCCACAATGCATCTTTAAAGCTCTCCAGGGTCTCAGGCAAAGGTCTTTCCCATCACCTCCTGCCTGGTCCTTTTCTAACCGGAGATGGCTGGGATTGAACCTGGGACCGTCTGCGTGCCAAGCAGAGGCTCTGCCACTGAGCCACGGCCCCTCTTGACAGCTCTCCAGGGTCTCAGGCAGAGGTCTTTCCCATCCGCTCCTGCCTGGTTCTTTTTAGCTGGAGATTCCGGGGATTGAACCTGGGTCCTTCTGCGTGCCAAGCAGAGGCTCTGCCACTGAGCCACAGCCCCTCTTTACAGCTCCCTCTAAGCTCTGGAGTCTTGTGAGCCAAAATCCTACTTTGTGAGCTGGCATTAAAGTTGTGAGCCAGCGATTTGGCTGCTGCATAAATTAGTTTGCTCTGGAGCCCTCCTATCTGAGCTAAGACAAACGGTGAGCTAGCTCACACTAACTCGGCTTAGAGGGAACACTGCTCAGGGTCTCAGACTGAGGTCTTTCTCATCACCTACTCCCTGGTCCTTTTCTAGCTGGAGATGCCGGGGATTGAACCTGGGACCTTCTGCGTGCCAAGCTGAGGCTCTATCCCCGAGCCATCGCCCCTCCCCTTTACATTGCCAAGCAACACTTCAGCTTTGGAGCCCAAATTCCCTGGGTTGCTCCTCACCTTGCTTCTTTGACAGGTAGGCACAGAATCCACTTTCGTCAACCTTTTTGGGTTCTCCACCGACCCAACCTGTGTACTTGGACGTGGATGAATCAGCCCATCTCCAGCGCCCGTTCTGTGGGGAGAGCAAAGGGGGCAGGACCTCAGCTGGAGAAGGAAACAACAGGTTTCCGGAACCTGGTCATTCCACCTGCATTCTCCATTGCTGGCCTGCCTGAGGAGGGACGGAAGGCTCCTGCATTCCTGGCTTCTTGCGAGATGTGCAAAACTGAATTATTCCAAAGGGCTTTCTGGCCAGGAAACAGGGCTGCATTATAACAGTATGATTCAGAAGATGGTTGAAGTAAAAGGTTAGGGACTAACGCATGGAATTCACTGCCGCAGGAGGTGGCAGCGGCTACAAGCATGGACGGCTTCAAGAGGGAACTGGATAAACCTCTGGAGCAGAGGTCCATCGGTGGCTTCAAGAGGGAACTGGATAAACCTCTGGAGCAGAGGTCCATCTGAGCAGGAGCAGGAGAGACAGCTGCTTGAGGGTGAGTGGTTATTTTCTTTTACTTGCTTTCAGCTGAGAGGATTCAGCTGAGGATATTGTGTGGGAAACCTGTGTTTAGCAGTGTGTGGCTGATTGAGAGAGGAAGGGGCATTGTTTGACTGGGATTGACTGTAATTCAGTATTTAAGAAAGCACCTGGCACGAGCCGAAGGGCGAGCTAAAGGGCTCTTTGCCTGTGGCTCTTAGCCTAGGGACTCTTACACTAGGGACTCTGTAAGAAGCCCAAAAAGAGCCAGAAAGACAAGGCCCTAGGCTCTTTGTCTTTCCCGTAAAGTAATTCGACTTCGATAAGAAAAACACATAAATACCAAGGTTTTAAAAGGGGGATTATATTTACTAATTTTAAAAGACTTATGAAGCCAGAATGCCAGCAGGGGGTAGGGGGCTATCCAGTGTTTTGCGC